TATTTTAACCAAATCAGTCGGTAAGAGGACACCTTTCCTATCAGCCTCAAGTTTAAAACAATCACAGTCAAGAACACAGTATGTGCCAAAGGAAGGCCAACAGCAGAGGTCCTGGCTCCTAAAGTGAGCCAGAAAAGCAGTTTTCTGCATGGAATGGTCTAAACAACAAAGCATCTTCTCTGTGGCTCTACCAGCAGTAGTGAAACCTCTTCAGCGGATATTTTTGTAAACTGTCTCCAAAGAATAAATCAGGCCCCAAATTTCACCACTTGAAAAAAAGAGTCAGGCATATCCCCTTTTTCGTAGTATTTTAGTCTAGGGAACAAAAGTTTAATGAGATCAAAACTCCTGTCAGCCCAGTGTTACGCATTTTTCCTACTTATACCACAACCCACAGTGATAAGTTAACCATATGAACAAAAGTATCACATTTTTGTCCTCCTGAACTGAAGGGGGAGCAACAGTCAGATCAAACTGAACACTGAAAAAATACCAACACATTCAGAACACCTGCCATGGTGTAAGAGTTCCCTTTCTAATCAGGACAGCTACAGCGCACTCCTGCAGCTGCAGCATTCCCTGCTTCTCTGGACTGTGGCAAGGCACAAGAACGTCTTCTGTAGCGGGTATTTTCCTCTCACACATCTCACACCACTAGATGAAAAGCAAGCAGCTCTCTCAAGGTCTCAGTGTGAGTCAGCTCATGCCACAGCCCCCCCGCAGCTGAAACCTACTAACTTTTCCCGATGTGTTGTTTCAGTCCCCCTTGCTGGGCCAGATAGGAAAAGCGATACAGGAAAACACAGGGAAGGTTTTATGTGATCCTACACAGACAACAGGAACACAATGCGGACTGTTGGGAATGACAAGGCACTGTTGGCTTCTAGTTTGCTCCGCCTGTGCTTTTTAGCAGAGCTCCACATGGGATATTCTGCTCACTGCCGTAGTGCAAGACATCCATCTCCCTGTGTTTGCCACCTAGGGTTCCCTACGTTAACATTTCATTACTGCTTTCAGGCAGATGATAGCTGGAGGCCAGCACCTGGAAAATGTGCTCATATTTGAGTCAGTGCCTAATCATTCCAGCCAGGAAGGAGGTGGTAACAGGCCCAGCTGTCAAACCTTCCCAGAGCTTATCTGGAAGTGACACACACACACCTGGTGAAGCTCTCACCCCCCTCTGTGTGTATTCCACAGCCTGCTGCAGGGAAGCATGCAGTCACATTCCCTCAGCAGCTCAGCTCTGCTTTGTGCGTGGAAGCCAAGGGTGACACTGAAGTGGGAGAGGGAGTTTGCAGCCCAGCTATACTGGAGCTGTTCCAACCTGTGCTGCTGGCATTCCATCTCCCTGCGGGCACGCATCATCCTGCTAGACCTTCCTAGTATCTGCCAGTTCGGTGCCACTGATGAGTTCCTTTATCCGGGGCCAAATTCTTAATGCACACACTTACCCCTACCCCTTTTGATAGCCTTTGCAGCAAAACCTAGATCACAAGAGACATGTTGTTTAGTGACGAAGCACAAAAGGAGCTTTGCTGAAAGGAAAAACACCCAACATGCTAAGTTTTTTAAGCTGTCAACAACTTTTCGGCATGGATAACTGTGTGTTAAGAACAGACCATATGAACTTGAAGCCATGGGCCTGGAATTACTGGAAAACAAGAACTCAGTTTTCACTGGTATTTGCAAAACAATCACTAGGTCTCACTAGATGACCAAAACAAAAGGTTTAAGTAGCAGCTTATTTGAATTGTTTCCCTTTCTATGAGATCTCAAATGAATTCTCCCTCTGTAAAATATTACAAGGACAGAGAGAAGACAGGAAGCGCAATCCGTGGCTTTCCTTACCTACCCCAGCACTCCCCACACAGACATGAGACCTGTATGGACTCAGGCAGGTTATCAGGAAATTGTAGAAATTTGGTTTTTTCAGCCTCTCCTACTTTCACATCACCCAACACCAGAGGAGCACATTGGTCTAAGCTCTGTGCAGAGAGCAAAAGCCTCTTCCCTTGTGGTCAAGTACTGACATTAACTGTCCCAGCCAAAACCAGCACATGCAGGGACTTTGCAGCACACAGCTGCAACCCCATTTAATCTCCTGCAGGTTTTAGCTTTCAGTCGTGTCTCAAGCTCAAGGGAGAGCTCAGACTACAAGCTGGAACATGTGAACTGCCCTGTCCAACAAAACCACTTCACAAACTCTGATCCTGCCCGCTTTGGTAGGGGAACAACATAGGGTAAATCAGAAGCACCTGAAACACTGCAGTAAGGTAGACAACTGATAACCATTACATGCACAACAGTCACCTCCCATATCATGATTTGATGCCATTCAAGGATGCATTGTAAAACTCATTTGATCTCCATTATGTCTGATTTCAGGTTCAGCATCTGCCCAAGGCCCAAGGAAATGCCTTGGCTCAGCTGCCTTCAATTTGTCTTCATCACCATCACTAATACTTGTTTCCTTGCTGGAATTAATGTTGGAATGATACCTGCTTGCCGAATACTCTGGCACAAAACCCACAGCGTGAGTCATCCGTCCCCTAACACCACTACAGTGTATGGAAGAGCTCGCACGTGCTCTGCCTCCGCAGTTTTGAGACTTCACTGCCTGCAGCCCAGCAGCTCTGTTTTAGCTAAGCTAAAGGCTACCCGGAGGGAAGCGCACAGCAAAGGCAGCTGGGAACAGCCACGTTCCTGAGGTGCTCCAACTGCCATGAACGCATTCTACATGCAGCCCCCCTTGTGCAAGGCAACCCTGTGCTGCTGCCCATCTCACACAGACAGCTCTTTTGCTGCTCTGCCAAAACAGTGCCGATCGGAAAAGCACAGCTTAAATTAGCCTCTGAAACATGCAGAGCAAGGTATGAAACACATCCCTGAAATTAACGTTCCGAGGTATTTCGGCTCAGACCTAAAGCAAGCAGGAATTACATTTAAGACAAAACCTACAGATTTTAAAAGTATTCAGACCTGATGTCTTGGATCCAGCAGAACCTGCTCCACCGCCCCAGCAGCTCAGTCACTGCTGTGCAATAGTCTCACTGGCCTTTGGCACACTCCTATCAGCCTCTTCTATCTGCTGCTGGCCACCCCCCACCTCCCCCAAGGAGTTATTTATGGGCACTACTGAAAGGCTATCATAACCACATGCATTCTCCATTTTAATGTCACAGCTGTTTTGGGAAAAGCCTAACTAGATGCACCAGGGAGCTAAGAATCTCTTCTCTCCCCAGCCAGCATGCAGATGCCTTAGCTAGCATACTGTTCAAGAACTGCTCAAACACTAGTGCTCTCATGTTCCAACAGTTACTACTGCGCACAGCTCAATGCTGGGGAAGTCCTTAGAAACTGTTACAAAATAAGCAAAAATAAAGCCTCTCAGAATGACACAAGCTTACTTTAGTTGGACAGATGACTAGCTGAAGCAGTAAGCTGGAAAACAGGCAGGGACTGCCACATTCTACTATGAATGGTCTCATTAAACCTGACTGGCTTGGCACACCTGCACAATCAGAGCAAGGAACCAGTTCCATCAGGATCTGCAGAAAGCAGCATACAACCAGCCTAACAGCTCTCCACAGCCACAGAATCACAGACTGGTTTGGGTTGGAAGGGACCTTAAAGACCATCCAGTTCCTGCCATGGGCAGGGACACCTTCCACTAGACCAGGTTGCTCAAAGCCTCATCCAGCCTGGCCTTGAAGACAGCATCTATCCTGGTTAATGACCAACACTGAAAACACCACATCATTAGATAACAGATGTCCACTGTGTTTCTATTAACCAGATATATGAATGATCCAGAAGTTAATGTAGTACCTTTTTGGTGTAGCCTGATACGCCGTTTACAACATACATTTCTGCAAGAAAGTCTTCAAGCCTATCTTGCATACAGAAACACCTTCATCAGGCAGATTTAAAAGCCTGATTCAACTGAAGCTTCACTGCCAGTGACTAAACCTGCTTTAAATTATCAAAGCTCAAAACCCCAATAAGCATCTCCCTTTAAGTTTGGCTGAAGGTGGCTATATAACCCTGGCAAGCACATATCACTGAAAAATAAGAAATTGGCAATAAAGCAGATTTTTCTGCATGCTCTACACAGAACAGAAAGAAAAAGCCTCTCACATTGTGCTCAAAACAGCTAACTCAACAGCCTTCAAAATTTCCCCCCAATCCTGCAAGTCAAGCAAACAGACAGCTCCCACAGCAACTTCCAAGCCAATAAAAATTTAATCTCATTGTAAGACATACATGATAGACTATCTAGATCCTCATATTTTATCTTGTAGCTATGTCTCCAGTGTGCTTTACTTCTACTTCATGGAAGAGTTATGTACCTAAGCAGAATCGCTCAAGCTGTTTTAGTTCCTACCTGAAACTAGACGGCATTCTACATACTCCTGAATTTCTTGGTTGCCATAAGCCAGAGTCAAACAACACAAACACGATCAATTAGACAACTACTAAGAAAAAAACAGTAGCCACATCAACATAACTTCACTTTGATTTTGGGTGCTATCTAATAGATTTATTCAAAGTTTCAGACTATAGCTCCAGACTCCAGATCTTTCTCAGAAGACACTACAATAGAAGCCATGGTAGAGACTGCCTTGTCACAAGAAGTACAAATACTTACTGTATAGATGGAAAAATAAAAGGACAAATCTAGTTGTCTAAAAGACAATTCACTGTACACATTTTATTTACAGTTTTGTACACTGTCTTAATATGAATGGGACTGCTTTTCTACTCGAGCCTTTTTAACCAAAGCAAAATAACCTAAGTAATACAAAGTGTTAAAATACAGCATAAGATACAAAAACAGACATACTAGTTCTAGTAAGGAATGTAGATTACGGTGTTACATTAAAAAAATCCACAATTATGTTTAGGAAAATCACACAAACAGATGACCGAGTTGTCTGAAATGCATAAATTTGTAGCAAAGCTTTGATGTTACAAAAGAAACCCAAAAAATTACCAAAGAATGCACAAAATTAATGTTTATTCCACCTTTGTCATATTCTCAGATTCTTCACCACGTTACATGAGCAAAAACAACTGAAATCAAAATATCACTAATGTTATCAAATAGGGAAAACAAATAAATTAATCTAGCAGCCATCAGCATAGGTTACAGCAAAGATGCTGTATGAAAAAAATTGCTAGAAAACTGTATGCACCATACTCTATTCCAAACCAGCAAAATGTTACTGCAGACAAGGCAAATGTAAGAGTAATCTCCTGCAGGTACAGAAATACAACTTCTTTTCTGAATACTGTGGATAAACATTTCTTTTTTTTTTTGTAATAGTAATGTTTCTACCAAGCTATTACAGAGTGGGCCAGGAAAACATGTATGGATTCTGGGGGGTTGGGAGGGGTGGTGTACTAAAATTCGGACTGTTGATGGTTACTTCAGCCAAAATAGAAAAAATTGAACACAGAAGTACAAGACAAAGGCAAATGAGACTTCTCACAGATCTTAGCAACATTTAGATGGAAATCAAATTTAAACGTAGTCCACTCTGCTTTTGAAGAGGCTTTGGTTCAGCTCCCAAATCGCGATTGCTTGACGCAGTCTCCTATGAAAGAATACTCAGAAGGTGTCTTCTTAAACAACAAACCTATTTTTAGTGGTGGAGCCGCTCTTAGTAGCTGTGTCTGCATGGGACTGGTAACCAATCACTATCTTTGGAGGAAGTCCTAATCTTTCCTTGTATACTCTCCTGGAGAAAAGAAACAGAACAACAGTTTAAGCAAAGCCCTTAGGAAGGAATTAGTAACAGGACACCTGCTTTATAAGATCTGCTGACACCTCCATGAAAAAGAGTTGCCTATATACAAACAATTTCTAAGTTATGAATAAAGGACATGAAACAGGATTTTTCTGGCTTATTGCATCTAAAAAAAAAAATCAGCTTACAATTCTGTATGAGCAATGACTTACCATATAAAATAGGGTCAAGCTCTTGCCAAAAAAATAATGAACAAGTAAGTGTAAGTGTAGAACACTGGGTTTTACTCCATTCACGTGAACATCATTAATATCAGCAAGCTATATTCCCACACAGAGCAACAAAACAGCTATGAAGTCATGGTCCACGATTCCAAAGCTATGGAGATTATGAAGTCGCCCGAATCAAATAAAGCAGCAATTTCCTGAAACAGTCAGTTTTTATCACCACACACATCTCAGCTGCACAGACTCACAGTCTTTCCTTCATCTGCTGATAGAAAGCAGATCCCCACTCCCCCAGTTCATCTGGGTACTGGCCATGGGCAGCTACCCAGCAGAAGCTTTAACAAAAATCAGCCTGGCTCTTATGACTTAAAAGCAGCAGCAGAAACCCCCGCCCTTACACACATTCTGTTCCTTAGCACGGAGTATGGGGAGATGCAAGCCACTAATGGGCACTAGGCTGCAAGCTCTGACAAAACCACAGAACAATCCTCTTCAACTGCAGGTTAACAGAACTAATTTTTTTTAATTTAGTTTTTTAAAAATGTACCATAATGGAGCAGTTTACAGGAACACAGCTTACTCCAACTGTAACAAATAAAAGCTTGATGTATTTTCTTTAGAGTTATGGCAGCATGACATCAGGTAGTCAATACTACCTAGTAAATGTGTCATTTTGCAAAAATCTTATTTTTTACAGTGAGTTGTCCAACGTAGTCATCTTCACTCTTTAGTCAATGGTTCATATTTTCTAAGGCACTCAAGCCTCCTAGGTTTGGTGTTAGGTTATTCCCTTGTAGCATAAGATGCACATCACAGTTGTGTGTGTCTATTGTTAAAACACCTTTCAAGCCTGAACATGATTGTGCAATGAAACTATTAGTACAAGGCAGACCCTCCCAGATTCATAAAGGCCCAAAAGGAACATGCCAAGAAACCCTCCCAGTAAGTGAAGAGTGACGGCAAGCTACTATGCCTGACAAAGTTTGGCCTAAAACCGGACGTTCTAAGATAGGAAGATAAATATTTTCATTGCTTTGCAGAGGTTGTGACCTACAGAGACTGAATTTAACAGGTAATTGTGAAGAATCAGTGCTACAGCACAAGCAGCTTCAGCAATACTTGCTAAATAGCAGAGCACCACATGCATTTTCCATAGTGGAGAGGCATGATAATCTAGAGATGACTACTGTTGCTTACGGAAATGGAGACTATGACCTGCTATTACACATCAATCCATTAAAACTCTGCATTATTTTGTTTGATTTCTACTTCAACTTTCTTTCATTTGTCATTTAAAAGTGACAAAAAGGGAGGAAAACATCTGCAGGAGTTTCACAGCACACTGCCCAGCTTTTTTCAAATATAAGGACATCCTTATGAACTTAAGATTCACAGCACCTTTCCTCTCTTACCTGTAAGCATCACTTTCCTGAGAAAAAATCCTGCCAATACTCCACTGTTCCTGGCTACCCATCTTCACAAACTGGCATGCAACACCACAGTCTACACTACCACAGCTATTCATTCAATGCCTCATTGTGACAAACTTCTGCCAGGATTTGTATTCATTTGTATTTGTATTCTTCATTATTTCTAAACCACAGTGAAAGTAGCACAGCAGTACAAAGAAGAGACTAATGTAGGCTCATACAGAAAAATGACACAGTAATGCCGATAATTTGGCACAGAGTTACTTAACCTTGGGATACAGCTCTGCACAGGTTACTTTTGCCCAGAGTGCATTCTCTATCAGGTTAGCAGGCTTTGAATACATGGTCACACCCCATATATTCAAGACAATCACATTACTTACCCTATATGTGTAACAGCATCCCTGTTTTCACATTCGGTTGTCCATATTGCTATTTTATCACCTTTAGTTCTAACATTAACAACAGCACCACATACATCATCACTGTAGTCAAATGACTCCCCAATAAGGCACAGCAGCTACAAAACAAAGATTAACCATTAGAAGTGGCAGTTCAAAGTCAGAATCCTGCTCCATAGGCAAACACATGGTGTACACAATGACTTTGAAGGATACTACATTGTACTGCTTGTAAACAATGATTGCTGTATGTCAAAGTAGCTGTTTATTGCACTATCTTCTTCAAGTTCCAAATGTTACAAGTGAACACAAACTCTGCTGTAGAGCATCTTTCTCCTGTTGAGAGTTTTCTATCTCTCCCCCTGCCCCAGCAGCTACAAGTTCTGACACAGTTGATCACTTACAGCATGTTGCCTCCCAACCCATCCTCCCAACCCAAAACCAATTAAGGATTAAAGGAATTAATTCTTCTTTCTAAAGTATTTTTAGCACAGGTAGACAAATCTGAATTTTTAAGTGTTTACAACCATTATCTAGGAAGAAGCTGTGAAGAACTATCTGGGCAACAGGTCAGCTATGTAAGGTCCAACCTCCATTCTGACGTACATAAATTCAGAGGCAATGCAGACCACAGCTTACATGAAGTGCTATCTAATGAGGTGGGCACTTCCTATCAACACACTCGGGGAGCTTCAGAGTTCTCAGCCCCTGAAGTGGGAATCTGTCATCCTGAACAGCGTCTAATGCAAATACAACAACACAAGTGTACAAGTAATACAAGATTCTCCCCAGAGATTTCTAATGCCGAAGCTTGGAGTTGGCAAAGGTAGCGTACTTCAGGAAGATCAGATTGCATTAGGTCATATCCCTGTACAAGGTTAACAGTGAAAGCAGTATTTAAAATCTTCAGCTTGCAACCCATAGGACAAGCAATTTCCACATATTCGAACCTGAGAATTTTTTATGGTTAAGACAGATTCATCTAGTCCATGCTAAATTAAAAGTCCTTCTGCACACTGAAGGGCTGGTTTCCAAACGGATGCTTGCTTACTTCACTCTCACAGTACGATACACTGCCATTACATTAATTTTTCCAGAATCGCTTATAACACTTGGAAATTCACACTTGCAACTTTCTGAACACAGCAGGTCTTTCAATAGCCATGAGAGGCACAAGGGATGGCTGTGTCACGGAAATACAAAAAGGACAAAGTGTGCTACTGAATAAATCAGGTATAACCACACATACTTCAAACGCTACACCCGACTGCAGGATGCGCATGTTGACTGAGTAATGAAAGCCATAAACATCTACCTTTACACCACACACAAACACTCCAAATACTGATCAACAGCATTAGTACCTATACATGGAAAGATGTGGTCAGTAAACACTACAGTCAAGTACATTCTCCTCATGAATGCTGCATAACAGGGGAATTGTGTCTTCTCAAAGTTTGGTTTACAGTTAAGAATGACAGGATCATCAGATTATAATAAATTTCTTCCGAAGGGGAGTGATAAGTGAAGAGTTTTTGATTTTTACTGCAGAAAGTTGGTTGCAAGTAATTACTGGAATTAGAAGTGACAGGGTTGTTTTAGAGCACATATCCCAGTCGCCTGCGTATCTGGGCTCTGTGCCACTGTGTGCTGCTAAACAAAAAGCAGAGCCCTCTAGTCTTAAGTCTACCCAGACTATTTACACATTTCCAATCCATATGTAATGGCTATTAAGAGTCAGGAGGACTCATAGGTATTCTGGGGAGAGGCCAAATGCACACAGCTAGATGTATGCAAAACTCATGTGCAGTCATATTGCCCAGTAGTATGATGTTCACCATCCTTTCTTCAAATCACTACTGCAGTGCCTAAAAAGATCCTAATAGCTCTGGTATTTTGGACACCTCTGCTTTGATCCTGAAGGCCATTTTCTCCTTTTCAAGGGGGTGCAGTACTTCTCACCTCTCACGCAAGCACGGAAAAAAGATCAGAGATTTGCTAAGATTGCTTCGCATTGTAGTGCCTGCAATCCATGCTCCTAAAACCCACATCAGACTTCTAGGCTATTCTGCATCAGTTCCTAGACAATACAGCTTTATCATTTTCTACAACGCATTTACTGCAACCCACATAATCTCTAGAAATGTATTTACCATTCAAAAAATCTATTCCCAGGAGATAAAAACAAAAAGTATTTTTATAGTGCACAGGAAGACTGTGCTACTACTTGCCTATTGTTAAGTACAGAAAGAACAAAAACAAACCTGAATTTCTCTTGTTACAGCAAGACCAAAACCTGAAAACCATTCACATGTAAGAGTATTTGTAAAACAAATTGTAACATTCGAGCAGTTAAATTTGGGAGTCAGATTCAAGACAAAGTATTATTTTCCCTAGCAGCTCAACACCTATTCTGTACATCCCACAGGAAAAGGTTAATCTGTCCTGTGGAATTATCTCCAATGCTGCCTATTATAAGAAAATCTTCAACAGAACATAACTACATTGAGCATCACCATGGAAAGGTTTTGTTTCAAATGCAGCCTTGTCAATAAAAGCTTACAGGACATTGTGCTGCCAGGAAGTTTGAAGTCTAGTGTGGCACACCAAAAGAACAAACCAGTTAAAACACTAAATACAGATGCAAGATCCTTCAACCGCAACTTGTAAGGCCATAGCACTTACTGTCTCTAGCCAGAAGCGATCAAGGTCACTTCGTCTCTGCTGTTTGTTTAGTGTAATTAGCCATCGTCCTCCTCGCTTGTTTTTTTCATCTTCCCACATGGGTTCAATCCCATCCTGCAAAGAACAGCCAGAAGTTAAATCAGACTTGATCTGTCTTTCCTAGAAAAAAACTAAAAGGCCAGCAATAACTGAAATGGCAACTTCAGAAAAGTGTACAGTTTAAGATACATGCCTGTCCAGAAATACTGTCTCATACCAATACTGAAGTTCCAAAACAGCTTAAGAAGTGCACTTCCTCTTTTTTATTTGTACAGAAGGATCACAGCCTTGGCTATGCATTACAAAAAACTGTGGGAACAGGTGAAGAGACATCCACTCAGCCCCATATGAAACCAAATAAAATATTAGCAGCTACACGCTGGGTTCCTTATTTTAAGTCTTGGACGCACTGCAACATTGGCTTCACTTACACATAAAGATTACCTCACTGAAACAGACACCCTTGGCAGTCTCTCTCAACTTCCTGCACACAGAAGGTGAAAGTAAGAGTTTTAATTGCCAGGGTCCAAAAATCAACATACCATTTAGAAGGCAGCTGCATTCCAATTCGTGCTTTACTGATGGCCCTGCACTGAATTAAATGACTCTGGATGCACTGATCCAGCAAAGCAGAAAACTGCAATCCCCATATCCACCAGCTACATTACCCTTCAGGAAAGTCTGTCATTAAAAAAAACAGGTAACTGTCTAGACAGAGAAATTTGGTTAAGAAATGTCTATTAAGCGAACAGCATTACAGAACTTCAGGCTGAAAACTAATTAAACGTTCAACATTCAGGAGGAACCAGGCACCAGTACTTACATGGTGGCTATTTAAGTACTGGAATCCAGAAAAGAAGCTGTATGTCAGAAGCACTTCAGAGAGGTCAGGATTTAACTCCAGTTCAGATCTCCACTCCAGCCAAGGAGGGATTTCCTGTTCAATAGTTTGACTACTTCCTGTTCACTAGTTAAAACTATTTCCTCAGCATGCTTTAAGTGTGCGTTGGGTACAACTTTATTTCATGCATAAGTAATAGGGCTCATAACAGGCAGTGTAAAAATTACAGCAGCATTGTGCACCTGGCTAGTAGTGATCATAGAGAACACTGGACAACACTGCAGCCTCCCACAGAACTCAGACATTTTAACTCACTTCATTCACACCAAGTGAGAGCTGGAAAAGCCTATTATAAAAACTGAGAATTATTTGCACAAGCATCTCAAACAGAATAAAGACAAACATAGGAACAGATTAAAACGTATTGTCTGGGACGTGTGTTATAGCAAATATTTGCTTTTTCAGAACTAATGACAGCCTTATTTTCAAAGGGTGTGTGTTTGGGACTTCCTAAAAACAATTAACACCTTTAGGACATTCCCAACCATGTTCCTAAATATCTGAAGTGAAATAGTCAGACAGTGTCTTGGCTTAGTCTGGAAATCATCCATCAATATCCCTAACTGGAGAAAAAAGGTTAGCAAGCATACCTTAAAGAGTGAGTAGTCACAACCAGGCATTAAATTACTAGAGAGCTGGATATGGTTGTATAAACTATTGGAGGGAAAAAAAGCAGGATTAACAAAATAAGCATTATTATAAAGGTTCAAAATTCCTAAAGAATTTAAGACATATGACCAAATAAAATGCAAAAATTAAAGCACTGAAGTTATTTCAGAAACAACCTTATTTCCTAAGTATTTTTCAGCAGTATAAAAGGATTTAAGATGGTCTGGGTTTAAAGAAACAGAATGGAAACTGGTTTATGAACACTTGCTGGATTCCTTTACAACAGTATTTTCCAGAAATACCAATGCTACCTTTAAAACTTGTTCTAACAAAGTTATGTTTCTAATAACTCACTGAAATTTCATGGCAACAAGTTCTGCCTGTGTATTTTATATATATACACATACATGGAATAAGCATAATTGTTTATCTTTCTAAGGCTACTGTCTCTCCAGAGAGACTTTTCTGGAGAAATATTTGAATTTTTATTTAACACAATACTCCAGGAATGAAGGCTGTAGTCCTGATAATTCAAATTGAAATAAAAATTCAAACAGCAAGATAACAATGTAAGATATATACTCTGAATTAATTTACAACAATGCAATTCAGCATCCAAAAAAAAAAAAAAAAAAGAAGAGGAGTACATACTGTCCCCTCCTCTAGCAAGAAGATAGATGCTTTTTTCCTGCACTGTTAAGGTCAGACTTGAGAAAGAGGCCTGCACATTCCACATTAAATTGTAGTTCGAGATCCACTAACATTCAGGCACAGTCCAGCATCAAAAAAGAAATTACTGTGATGTTCTAACAACTGAAAATCAGGCATAGGAATTTACGAAGCCAGTTATAGATTTACCAGCCTCCCTCCTTTAAGTTTACCTAACCTTAACATACTCCAGAACACCACATTATTCCCCCCTCCAACCACACCAAAGGCATACCTTCTCAATTGGTGGTGACTGATTTTATACCTTGACTGCAGACATATAGATTCAGCACTTCTTTTAATTACCCAGACTATCTCGGTTATAGAACTGTAGAACGGGTGGGTTAGAAGGGACCTTAAAGGCCGTCCAGTTCCAACCCCCCTGCCACGGGCAGGGACACCTTCCACTAGACCAGATTGCTCAAAGCCCCATCCAGTCTGGCCTTGAACACTTCCAGGGATGGGGCATCCACAGCTTCTCTGGGCAACCTGTGCCAGTGCCTCACCACTCTCTCAAAAATTTTACCCATAACCAACTTTAACTGTGAGCTTCAAACAATTTCGCCTACCATCACATACCCCAAGACTGCAAGCTACAGTTTGCTCAACCACTGGTTGCCCCCATGGTAGGAACAGGAAAGATAGGATTCTATGCTTGTAACTATTCCCCTCCCTCTGATAACTGCACTGATAAACACTTGTTCAACATTTTCAGTATGTCTGATTCTCTCCTGTTGGTGCTAATGGATCACTGATGGGTCTCATTATTCCACTAAAAAACACCATCTCTCTTCTGATCACATTCAAAAGAACCTAGCACTTGGTGTGGCATAACACTAAGAAATATCAAATATATAATGAATTTTTCATCCTCAATTTCATGCCACTTGCATTTCTCTCCATATTTATTCATTATGGCAGACAAAATCTTCCATGTAAGCTATCTGAATTTGACTGAAGCAGGTGTTTGAAAAGCACAAGCCTACCTTCAAAGGCTTTGTTCTTGCTGTTTGAGTCTAACTGCTTTCACAGACCTTCAATTTAGAACGAAGGTAGTTTCTTCTGGAACCTTTAATGAACTTCTTTCAAAGAAGCCATTAATCTGCATCAACCTCCCAAGTACTATGCTCCAGATTCAGGCACTCTTGAGAATCTGAAGTGAGTTACTGTCTGAGAACTTTATCAGCTAGCCAAATTTGGGGCTGAGGAAGTCAGTCAGCTGGCTATAAGAATTTAGAAATTCATGTTACTATCACATACAGCTACCACACAAGTACAATTTTCTACATACAAAAATGTAAGCAGTGTTAACAGCAAGACAATGTGCATGTAAAATATGAAAAACTTCTCAAATCACATGTTCAAACGTTACATTCTACCACAGTCTGAAGAATGGGGTAGATCTCACTTTCAATTTCACAAACATTTCAGATTACACCCAGAAAGTTGCAGTTAATAGAGTACTTCATGGGGTTTTTTTACTTTGGCATAAGCTTTACCAACATATGCCAGGATAATTACTCAGATGGAAAATCTTTACTTACGCCCAAAAATCTTCAACAGTATCAAACTTTGAGATAAGACGAAGATTTGCTTGCCAAGTTTTGCTCTTGTCATTTTTAAAAAACCAGAGTGCCCATCTAAAGGAGAACAAAATAAAATAGCATCTGTAAGTTATATTATAAATAAAATATATGTGTATTGTTATATCCAAACAAAGTGCAAACCTTCAGATGGAAGTGAGTTTTCATCAGTAAGGTACACATGAAACCCAGTTCTCAAATCCAACCCTTTGCAGATCAACAATATTTGTGCTCCCATTACAAGAATCATGGAAAACTTGATCAATTCGTTTAGGTAAATATTTTAAATACTTTCAGAACGTGTCTAAGCCTCAGATGTTTCTCCTTGCTGCTACTGCTGAACTGCAATCCCCTACCGCAAATGAGTAATCATCATCTAACACACCACTGACTATTCAAACTAGGAGCACAGCTCCCTTTCCAGTAATTTCTTGGTAAAGGTTACAAAAGCTGATTATACCACTCCAAAGCTATACATGCCATAAAAGTTTCCCAAGCACTCATATATTGGAAGAGCATAAATTTTAAAAGGGTAGCTTACTAATGCCAGCAACCTTAAACACCCCCTAACTTTATCCATTTCAAGTTTTTGAACCTGTATATATAAATGAAATTTTCCATTGTTTTCTTCATCATTATCTCCACTGAGTACAAATCTCAACACACAACTGAACCTTTCACAGAAAGACGCTGTTTCTGGATCTAAAAGGATTGTTTAAAACACTAGAATAGGATACCCTGATGAGGTATACCCTCATACCCTGTGCTGGTTTTGGCCGGGATAATTTTTTTTCCCTAGTACCCAGTATGGGGCTGTGTTTTGAATTTCTGCTGGAAACAGTATTTATAGCACAGAGATGTTTTTACTATTGCTGAGCAGTGCTTACACAGAGTCAAGGCCTTTTCTGCCTCTCACACCAGCGAGTAGGCTGGCAGTGCACAGGAAGTTGGGAGGGGACACAGGTGGGACAGCCGACCCCAACTGACCAAAGAGACATTCGAGACCACATGATGTCATGCTCAGCATATAGAGCTGAGGATGAAAGGGAGGGATATTGGGAGCGATGGCATTTGTCTTCCCAAGGACCCGTTATGCATGATGGAGCTCTGCTTTGCTGGAGGTGGCTGAACACCAGCCTGCTGATGGGAAGCGGTGAATAGATCCCTTTTGTTTGGCTTTGCTTGTGGGGCATTTGCTTCACCTATTAAACTGTATCTCAACCCCTGAGTTCTCACTTTTACTCTTCCAATTCTCTCCCCCATCCACTGTGGGTGGAGCGAGTGAGTGTGTGGTGCTTAGCTGCTGGCTGGGGTTAAACCATGACAGACATTTAACTGGCTTATTTTTCATTCTGATAGTTTCAGCAGTGTTGAAATCACTCAGGTTTGCACTAGAGTAGCGATTTACCTTCTCACAGCGGAGTACTTTAAGTGAACAGGTGTCAAGCTGTTGTTATGGGGCCTTTCCTGACATTTCAAACCTTGGTTTATAAGCTTACTTTTTTCCAGTAACAGCCCCACTAGCACTTGCAAAGGAGTGTCAGCACCAATTTAATCAAGGTCTTCAGAGGAAAAAGAGGAAGGATAGAAGTTGAAAAGATAGAAAATGGGATGCACACAGCTTAGCACTAGAGTGCAGAGTGGTTTTCCACCCTTGCTCAAAACCTAGAGATGCCATTTGGCAAAAGGTTCACACTGGAGCAGCACCTACCTACCAACATTAAGTACTGAGCACCCCACATCACCTCTTCAGCTTACATGGAGAAAATTACTTCCTAGCTGCTTTCTGAAGTACATGTATGCTGCTGGAGTAAATTTGGTGCACATTTAAAAGAATTCAACCTATAAGCTTATTAATATCTTTACTGCAGAAAGGCAGTTCAAGATAAGTTTCTGAACTACAAAGCTTCTTGGCAAAGTCCTCATCATCTCTGTAGCTCAGTAAAAAGCCAATAGTAGCTTTTCAAGCTTAAGACACACCTGGTTTTGTTTTAGTAGGAGGTCTTTGATTTTTCAGTAACTTTTCTGATGCTTACTTTTAACTACTGCTCCATGTTGTTCTTGTTAAACAAGAAATTTTAACTGCCCTACAGTGTTTTTCTTAGTGACACATTAGTACAAATACATGCATTTGCACTTTACAAGGTTTCTTCTGCTGTGCTTCCTACAGGTAATGACAATATTACTGTAGATGCCAACCACTCATATGATCAAGTCTAGTAAGCTCCTTGGCTGATTAACACAGCTTCTACTACTTTCAGTTCCAAACAGGAAGATATAAAGGAGTACGACTGTGATAAGAAATGAGAAATCTTTACCACTGGCACTTTAATTGCCCAAGTACAAGGCAGAACGGAAGGTTTTCCAGTTCCGCTTGGCAGCAACTCCATCTCAATGTCAGTCTCTTAAAGAAAAGCAATAAAAGCTCTGCTTGCAAAACTCAAAGCAAAGCTGTGCTCTTTCCAATTAACTGGCTGCATTATGAGAATCTGCAAAGACTTTCGGCTTCTGTAACAACACTACATGAAAAGGCTCTAAATTACAACAGGATCAAATTTTATTTCCCCTGCAGCCTCACTGCAAAAATCTTCCCAAAAAATGAGAACTCTCAAAATGCTGCTAGAAGACATAAGGCAAACAAGAGGGCTGTAAAGCCACAGGCATTCTCCCATCTGGCAAAATTACAGTCATGCTTCTGTACTATTTACCTGTTTTGTAGTGGATGCTTAATATACTGTTCAGGGCTGGCAACCTCCTGACTGGGTGCTGGCTCAGTTTTCTCCTCTTCTGAAGGTTGAGGGTTGGGAGTAGTTTCCTGTTGGAAAAAGGAGTTAATATATTCCTTTCCAATTTTTATTGAAGTAATTTAGTTCTTTGAAGTAACTGTAAAAAGGTTGAAGCTAAAACTTCCCCTAATTTATCTTGGATTAGGAGCCCAAATCCCATCATGGAAGCACAATCTGCATCCCTTCAACATCTGAACAGGTTCTACAATAGAGACTAGCTGCAGGAATTCACATACTGCTGTTCAGTGACTTGCTTCCTGTGTCATCTGTTTCCTGAATGGTTTGACTTGTCTTATTTTGAAAGACTGAGTTATTTTAGAAATACACAACGTCTAAGTTTCCAGAGTAACAATTTCAGAGAGAAAATTAATTTTTTTGAATCAGTTTGTCAAAACAGCATTGGAAACAGATGTACAGGCCCTGTTTATGTAGAAAAATGTTATTACAAACAGGAGGCATGCCTACAGTTCTCGGGTTTGAAATCCACTATTATAAGCAGACAGAAACTAAACCAGTAAGCAGTTACCTTTGTATTGGCAACATCACTATTAACAAAGCATCAGGCACCAAACAGCAGAATGTAAACACATAATGGTTCTCAAATTTCAAACTGAAATAAATCTAATTACACATTTAACACAGATTACATTGATTTGAAGTTGGTGGTTTGTGTTTTTTTCAAATCCCTAGAGAGGTCAAACACACTTGAACACAAAAGTGAAATAATATATTCCCTTTGCATGCAAACCCCCTCAAGCTCATCATTCAGTTCGAGAAGTCACTGTGTCAGGTTTGAAATTCTAATGCCATTCCCTCAAACCAGGGAACACAAAGCTTCATTGTTAGGCCAAGTGTCCCCACCAGTTACCACCATCTCACCCTAATCTGCAGTCCGTGCTAGAATATTAGAGACAAGAAATGAGGACTAGAGCTCATTCCCTACAGCTGACCCTGTGAAGGTACTTCAGTAATACAAACAAATACTAACTACAGCAGATGCAAAGACTAAGACATTCCTAAACACAGCAAAACAAACGTAGTACTTAAAAATTAAACATTGTGGTCTTAAGAGACAAAAGCAATGTAGGTGTGGATTAAGTAATGGCAAGTCATCTAATTAATGGAACAGTTTACCCCACACTTCCATGTTACTCAGTTTATGATCACCAAAGCTGCTGAAAAGTGGAATGGATTTGAAGAGAAAACAAACACCGTTTAACCTTCAGTCCCAGCTGGCGAACTCTGACAACACCACAAGATATGTCTTAATAGGAATTTCCTCTTCATTATCAATGTATTTAGCATTATTAAGCATGGTTATGTTTTCCTTCAGAGAAGTTACACCTTTATACTCAAACTAAAGCATACTTAATTTTTAAACAGTTCATCAAGTAAAACAAAAAAAATCTCAGTTCAAAAGCTGATTTACATCACATTTCCAAATGCTTTTATATGCTCCCACATTCACAGTCTGAAGACCGAAAGGCAAAGTCCTAACGGGGCCAGTGAAAACCAGGATAGTGCTTTCATTTACACAGTCCAAGGGGCAGGTAGTACAATTTCCTGCCTCCTAATGAAACTATGCTTTCTGAAGATTCACTGATGAGGAACATTACTGACAAACCCACTGCATTATTGAACAATCTGTTCGCTCTCCTTTAATGCAAAAAAACCCCAGATCTTAAAAGAGAACTCAGTGTTTCAAATTCTATCTAGAATAAAATTTCTAGTATTAGTCCCACTGATTTTTAAATTGAGGATCAAATGGACATCTTTTCCAGTAATCACAGGGAAGGACCCCACAGAAAAAATTACGATGGTCCACACACAAAGGCTGTAAAATACTCCAAAGAAGCATTTCCATACTTCCTCCTCCAAGTTGAGTTCTTGTGGTATAAAACACACAAGCACAAACAACTGCAATTTAAGTGCTACCCTTTCAGGCACTTTTAACTCTAAGAGTTAAGAACATCACCTGTGCAAATACAATGAGTATACAAGAAAAATGTTGCTATTATTTTGGGAATAAGCTAAACACTAGTTTAGGTTTTGTGATAAAGCTCACTTTCATTCACAACACTGCAGTTGTGACACCTAATATTTACAATTGATTGACAAATGCTATTACACTAAAGATTTTCACATCAAATAAATTCACTCTTCGCAAATGAAAAGTAACTTCCAAAAATAATTTCAGTGGAGAACCTCATTGAGGTTTGCTCAGCAAATAGCTTTCTGTATACAAAGAGTTAATCCTAAGGTCTCCCTGGTCAATCTTCCAGAAGGATCATAACTGTCTAATAATCAGTGCAGAAATACTAAGCAGATGCAGAGCTATGCCATTTCATAACTTCTAATACAAGACAGAAAGGATTAAAGACTAAAAAAGATGCAATGAGCCTCACTACCTGCCCAGTATACCAATGGTGACCCTTCACATAACTACATGAAAGTCCATTTTTCGACAAATGGAAGACATCTGACTCAGCACAAACAGCGTAGTTAAGTCACCTATAACAAGTGCCTTAAGGTATTTTGAAAGCTACCTGCATTAATGAAACTCACATTAACCATTATTTCAAGCTCCTGTCCAAAACAGCACAGGACACCTCACATCCAAGGCCCAGTTAACTATGATCTTGCCCCAGGATCATGCCAGCCCGCTCAAAAACCAACCCAACCAGCACTAGGCTGCCCATCAAGGTCAGGGAACACTGTCCACACTAGGAAGACACCTGGAAAAAGCTATAAAGTTGGAAGCAAAGCTTTCTACCACACGTTTTCAAACTGGTCTCAGACAGCAGCAGCTTTTCGCTACCATTTATTTCCCACTGCCATCAAGGGGAACAGAAAAAAGGAGCATTTTCATTTCTGGATGGTTAATCATGTCAGCTCCCATGTCCTTTCATCCTTCCTTTATCTCACTATTCTGACCACCAAGCTAAAGTATTTGTATAGCAAAGCACTTTTTGTCATTAGTCAAACACAAGGTATGCGAGTTTACTAATTGGCATTCAAAGTCCATTTCTCGTATCCAATCTCTTTCCAGCTACTGAAATTCTCCCCCAAAGCACAACCATGCAGGTTTTAGAAGATCTTCTAATTACAGCATGAATTAAAGTGATATTGTACACCCCTTGCCAACTCACACCTTGAAATCTTGCAATTGCTACACTATGAACTCACTAGAGTCAGACTGTCTCCATGAGCAATTTCTGGCCTAGTTTAATAACCTTCATAATACTTTACTATTGCTTGTAACTAATGCATTCTTTAACCCAAAACTGACTTTGTGTCTAGTATTAAGTCACCACTGGGTTTGCTGCTTCTAAAATAGATGTAATAAATAGGGTGGTATTACCAGATAAACTGGAAAGCTTCATATATGGCCAATCCTATTCCTCATACACAAGACAGCACATAATTAAAAGTGACATTTATTTGCTACCCACATGAGGTTTTTTGATGTAGGAAACAGCCTGCATGAAGCATTTGCCTACTCAGCATTTAGTGACTGTGCATATCTGCACGTTACTTGGATTCTGACACTTACAGACTTAATTGGTGTTATTTATTCTTTCTTCATAATGCACATAATGACCAACATTTAAAGGAAGGTGTGCATGCCACCAGGACAGGAAGCAAGTAGCACTTAAGAGTAAACACTGCTTCATCAGGTTTGTCTACGGAAGAGAACAACAAGCTTGACTAGGTTTCACCAAGCGTCTTCAGGTTCTGCCCAGACCACATTCATGTCATCAGAATGCCTACAGAAGTTGTTTAGGAGGTCCAGTTGAGACAGCACAATATTTATGTCCCAAAAGGATGCTATCTAGCACTATTTCTTGGTGAAAGTCAAGAGAATCAATTAGGGGAAGAGGTTTCCACAGTTTTCTTGCTTTAAACCAAGAAAAGTTACATTTGAGAGTTTCCACTTTCTTGTCCAGGGTTTCCAACAGAGTGGGAAAACTGTACATCCCAGTTATCAGATGTCTACAGAAAAAGCATGTCAACTATCCTTATGCTTCTTGCAGGTAACTGTACTGCACTACAGTCTGGATAACAATTGACAAGGCACTAAATCATGAGCTATTTATTTCAAAATATCCCAGGCAAAAGAAGGGTTTAAGCTCACCCACAAGCAAGTATTTTCTGCTGTAAGAAAAATCAAATGATGATCTGATACACAACTCTGAGGAGTAACACACGAAGGTAAAAATCATACATAGTATGTATAATACCAGCTGGAACAGAGGTACCAATAGCCACCTGCTACCAAGCAAACAGTGTTAAACAGCTTTCCGGACACCAGGACAGAAAAACATTTTCTAGGCATGACGTAACGACGCCTAATAAGGAGCAACTCTCCTGCCTGCATGCATTATTACTTAAGACTACCAGATTTTTAGTAAGGCACTCGCTACTGGAACACAAACATGGGACATGAGTTTAACAGTGTGACATCCCACCAAATTAGAACAGAAGTGCAGCACATGTACAGGAGGACAGGAACAAAAGACTGAAGAGCCAACACCTCCTCCATGGTCAGAGGGGCACACTGGTTTGGTTTTTTAGGAAATGTAATCTCAGGTTTTAAAAGATGCAAAGAATATGTACAGCCCTTTTGACTTCTGAAAATACGTTACAGGTTCTAAGGCACTCACACAACACCCACCCCCAACACTTCCCAGAACTGCTGAGGTTCAGATGACTCAAGTGACAAACCACTTCTAGCACCACAGACACAAAGACACCTCAAATTACTGCAAATGTACTGAGCCACTTGTACAACCAAGAATAGAATTTTACACCAGCTGAAAAATTAAGACATTCAATCTTCAGAAAGCAGTTTAAAACAAAATTACATCATGTAAGGATGCCCAAGAGGACAGTCTTCAACCAAAAACTAAAGCACTGGACATACTACTAGTATGCCCGATTATTGTAAAGCATATAGTGTATACAAGCTGCTTTGATAAATGACACTGAACATGAGAAAAACTGACCACTGTTTAAAAGATTATTAAACAACTGCTCTGCATATCTGAGAAAAGACTTTTAAACATTTTTTTTCTGCCTTACAGCCCCTTATATCCCTCATTTGATTCTCATCTCTAGACTCTCAAATTCACACTGTTCTTTACAAAGCTGCCAGAAGGGTCACATTTTCTCAAAATTTCTCATATACCTGCACACTTGCAGGTAGCATCAGGAGCTATTTCAAACTTTCCAGAATTTCAAGGCCCTACACCACTACTGTTGATAACCCCTTGAGATAAAACTTCCTGTGAAGTGAGTCCCACCACTGATGACCAGCTGTTTAAACAAGCATTTTTCAAAGCATCCGTAACAGAAGTTTCACTCATGTTCAATTCACAAGAACTGCAATTCGGGAAGCGTAACTCATGAAACAAAAAACCTCATGATAGCCATTTCCAATTTGAACATGTGAGCATCTGATCCTCATTGTAAGTTACTTCCACACAATTTACACACATCTAGACATTGCAGGCTTTGTGTAGTCACGTTTTAAAGTCACCTTTGGTAAACTACTCTTTACTAAAGCATTACTACTAGTTTTGTTACTGACTTCGTGGACTTTTGCACACTTATCTGATCACATTTCATCTTCAAAAGGCTACAGTATGAGCACACTAAAAGGACACACCTGCATATTTTCACAAATTAATCTAGAGTAGACTTAGAAGAAAAGCAATCCGGATAGCACAAAAAAACTCAAGAGTTTTAACCTGTCAATGTTGCAGAGGCCTTAAGTTTGCCCTGCACTAGAGAAGTAAACCACTGTAAAAGAGGCCTATATTTACTTATAACCACCTTGCTTTTCTTAGCAACTTCCACAAGACTCCTTACAGTACTCTAAATTCAAGTTTCAATATTCCTAAGGAATTTGAAAGATTTTTTTCCAGCCTCTAAACAACACTTAAAAGCTGTATTACATTTGAGAGCATAGAAATACTAAAAACATCACTGACTTTAGTAGGAGCTTACATTAAAAAAAAAAAAGACATTCTGTAGTGTTTTGCATTTTCTGATACACACTTTCACAATAGGGAAGCATAACAAATGACATGTCTACAAACCTAGGTCCAGATTTTGAAAGTCAGCAACAGAAAGGCTAAGACCAAGAATTAATCCAAGAATTAACTATACATACAATTAAATTGTTAATTGAAAAGCACATAGTATTTCTGCAACATTAAGCATCTATGGCCTCAGTCACTACACAAGTCTAACTTTAAGCTTACACAGGAGTGTCAGCCAGCTAAATGAACAACAAGCAAAATCTATTATTTAAATAAATTTTAAATTAAACCAACATCTTGTTTTCTGAAGTCAAACGTACTTCAACTATGGCAGAACATTCAACAGCAGCATTAAACTGTTGTGAGTGTTGCCCTACCTTCCACTTTTACTGGGTCAGCACAACATGCGTGTTTGTCACTGCATGGTGAACTGGATCTGGGAAGCTGCGTGGCAAAATCTAATGGGTTTCTTTGGCTAAATTAGCCCCAGATCCAGCTTAACATGCAGCCTCATGCTTATGCAAGAACAATGAAGAGAATGGTGCAGACAGAGGCTTACGCCTGTACCACACAGCCAAAGAAGCCACAGATCCATGCCTTTAGAGTTACTTCTATTTCCAATGGCCATAGACATTGCAAATTATTTGTCACAATTCCTGCTAAGCTCCATAGCCAAACTGTGATAAATGACAGGAAACTCGTCTTCAGACATATGGGCTATAGCTCAGAAAGATCAGCTGCTGGATGGGAAAATGTGTGTTTAACACTGTGGTTGGGGAACATGGGAAGGGTGTTGCCAGTGGCCCAGCTCACTGTCTTAACACCTAACATTCTTCCTGTTCAGAGCTCCTAGCCAAGCAATTTATAAATGGTCCCCAATTTCAACCTCATCCTTGTAAGTAAAGACACATTTTTTTGCTGCTCATGGAAGAAAATCATAAGAGAAATATCAACATCCTTTACACAATAGGGTAAAATTAATCTTTATTTTAAAATAGTGATTTTCAAATATGAACATTTCTTGTCTAAATGTTACAAAGCCTCTCCAAAGTATATACTATTTATTCATAGTTGCTAAGCAGCAGCAAGAAACTAGCCTTAAGTTTTTCATTTTCTTGAAACCCTAATAGAGCCTTCTGCTGTCCACTCATCATGATACATAAGCATATGAGATTAAACAACTATACGTGGTCTACTTCAGCTGCTTCTGTTCTTGGAAAGAAAGCTGGCACAGTATTTATAAAATAAACCATAACATCACAAAGTATTATCTAGAGAAGAAAAATTACTTGGTTATCATAAAAACTATTAAAAAAAGAAATAAAAATATCATTTTGATGCAGGAAGATGACATAACCGGAAAAAGCCAATTTCGTTTGCAACACGCCTCGAGTCTTACCCGTCACACTGTTGTCTTGTTTCGGCTGCCAAACTCGCGAGCAGCGCATCCGCTCACTTACAGATCCTCACCCCTGAAATCGCCAGGCCCCTCTCGCCGCAAACTCTGTGTCTGCCTTGAAACTAGACCTTCACGGCTGGCAGCGCGCCAGGAGGGCGCTCGCCAGCCGGCCAA